AGCGCATGCACATAATACAACTTTACATAGATATGAACTACACAATTTTGTTATTTTTATTATATGTTTTAATTTAATAGTTATTACAAATTTCAGCCTCCAAGCAATGATTTGCTTTTGAATCTATTTTACTAGACGACAAAATATAAAATTTATTACAAAAAAGTCTTTTATATTTTTTATTTGTGTAAGGTTTAATGTTTCCGGTTCAGTGAACATGTATAAATTTGGTTGATTCATACCCTAAAAAATAATCATAATAATACAAAAGGGGATATAAATAAATTGTGGTCCAAAATATTAAAGCCATTGTTTGGTGGAAGGGAGATGAACTGTGCAAAGGCAGACAGTAAAAATTAGTTGGAAAATTATTTAACTATTATCTAATTATACTTTGATTAAAAAAATTAAGTAGCATGGATCCCAACATTTCGGGCAATTAACGAAGATTTTGGTGATAAAGAGAGATTTGGATTTGGATTTGGCTGTGATTCGGAGGCGGCTAGCTACCTAATTAGCGAAACATATTAATTTGCAATTATAATAATATACCTATAGACAATTTCAAAGAATGGTTTTATTTTTTTTGTGATTGAAATTAGGACCTTAATCATAGTATACCTAATAAGACTGAAATGAAGGCTGCAGCATCTAACATCCCCTTCTTTTTCTTCAATTGAGATCTTTGAATAAATAAAAATAATTTGGAGCCGAGGACCTGCCTTTTTAAGCCAAGTGTTGAGGTCCTCAAATAGGTTACAGACCTTGGGTGTGTGTTTGCTTTTCATTGATGTTCTATGGGACTTTCATTTAGACAAAGTGGTAATTGGTAATAAGATAAAACACTTGTTTCATAATACAATTAATCTCAACTTAAAATGATTCAAAATTTTGTGATCCGAATCCAAAGCGGTTCAATCCAAATCTGACATAATGCATCCAATTACCATCCCTAATCATAATCTCTACTTATTAAAGATATCGGATATGAAAATGATATTATTAGTTGAAATCACTGAATCTATATAACAAGATTATGTGATATATGTAAAATTGTCATTTTAATCAAATGACAATACAGAGGTTGGCTTCCCTAAGTTTAATTAAAATTTTTTGCAGATTTCCTAAACCATATGTGCCTATATATATATATATTATAAAAAGTTAGCCGCTCATATTATAATTAGCAATAGCCAGTGAAGTTCAATCACATGATTGCGCATATTGATATAGTACTATTTATGATAGCTTCTGTCATGCCTGAGAACAGAATTGCAAAAATTAAAAGGTAAAAAAGAAAATTAAGAATAAGGGATTCAGTGATAGCTTTAATAAATATAAGAAATAAATGAAGACGTTTCAGAAATTCAAAGCCCCCCCCATATTCAAATAGATCATCCATCCTTTGGTTACAATTAACAAACAAAATGCAACCTAACATTGTGGACTATACTTTCCACGGTGGGAATTGATTTAATTTAAGCAAAAGGGTTTGGTTCTAATCCGAACTACTAGCCGAAACACATCCTTTTGCCCATTTTTTCTTCTCCTAGCATGATAACATAAGAAACCCTTCCTTTGCTTCTTCTTCATAGAATTAACTTGTCAAAGGAGGTAATAAACTAATTCTTTTGAGTGTCAATCTTCTACTCCTCTGTGTATGAATTTGGGTTACCAAGGGCTGTCGGCTTCTTATTTGCACGAGCTTCTAAATCATATTTTATGGGTAGGAAATGATAACTTCCAATGCTCCAATGGTCAAATAACACAACAAAACTTAGGGTACACTATATGCTATTTTGTCTTTGCCTTAATTTCAACAGTTTAACTACTCATGTAGTAACATAAATCTAATAAAGAACATTTTTTAGGTATATTTTTTTTATAAACAGTCAAACTATCCAACACTTTAACATTCTCCAGTAGTTAACAGTAACCATTAGAACAACCACAATTAATTATAATTTACTTAATAAGAAGAAAGGAAAGTTCAAACACTTTGCAAGGTTGAAAATTTTTGAAAAATCAGTATGCAATGATATGTGATTTTCAATATAATTTTAAGAAAGGGAACTGTGATATAATATACATTTCCTCTAACATCATTTTAGCAAATATGAAATTGGATAACAATGTCTAATTAATAGTAATGCACTATCATAGATGTTTGCTTTTCCATATTTTTTTAGAAGAAAAGAAGTATATCATGTTGAAGATTTTGTTCACGCGTGGGCCGACATGCATTGCGCTTATAACGCACAGCTTGGGGATTCTTAACCCCACTTTTTTATACAACAATATTCATATATAGTTCAGATGTATGAGATAGTATTAATTATTATAAATTTCAGTTATAAAAAGGGTGATAACTTTTTAATAAAAAATTTGATATAATATTTAGAAAAATTTTAATTAAATTTTTATTTTTTTATTACATTCAATCAAGTCTTTATATTTTTATTTTGAGTTAAATAGACTTTTATTAGTTGATTAATTATTATTAATCAAAATATTATTTTTTAATTTATGTTCACGTGATACAGGTGAAAATGCTCACATAATCATATCATCATGTCAAACCATCATCCATTATGACATGTCAGTATATCACATTAGTATCACATGACATCGAATAATAAATTATATTTTGATCAATAATAATTAATTAACCACTAACCATAAGAGATTTTTAACTTAAAATAAAAATATAAGATCTTTGATTGAACACAATAAAAAATAAAAATTTAATTAAATTTTTTTAAATAATTTAAAACCTTTTTTAAGACTTATGCCAAAAAGTATTGATAAAGACTTTAATAGAGAGAACTCAACCAATCATGGTATTGGGTTTCGAAACAAAAAACAGAAAGAAGATTCAACCATAGATTATGTGCTATTGAATTATATCAAATGATTTGAATTTTTTTTAAAAAAAGAGATAATAATAATAATAATATGTCTAAATAATGCAAAATTTTAAAAAAATTATGTATTACAAAATTATTCATATCACTTTATTTAGACTCTTATTTTCCTTGTATGGTCATGCACTTAATGAATACTATTGCCAACAAAAGGTACGTAAGATCAATAAATGTTCTAGTTCACCAAATTGAGGCACTTATTTGCATTTAATGCCATGGGACTTTTTCACATAGAGTTATTTATTATCAGTGTTGAAAATTTTCTAGAACTTTTCCTCCTTCTCCATTGCTTCTTTGCATTTTCCCTAATTTGTTCTTGTTCCTTCTATATTTTATATCTTCCTTGTTCGTAGGATCAATGCATTCTATACTATTCGACACTCTCTTTCATCCAATGTTTTAAATGAAGTCTCAAACCAAATTTCAAAGCCAAATTGTTTAGACTAATTTGCTCCACTTGATGATATTAATATTAATATATATGTATATATATAAACAAACATCCAAATTAGCAACAAGATTAAATTAATGTTAAAATCAGTTGTTGAGGTTTGGTGGGTCCAATCTAAAGACTGAATTAGTTTTGCTTTTTGCGTGCATTTTTCTGCTTAGTTACAAACACCATAACAAACTCAGAAAAAATAAAAGCACCTATGATTAATAAAGTAAAATTAAGTTGATTAAAAATTAGAAGAATAAATGCTGCTTAGAGGGCGGTTTCTTCTGAACTGAACCAAAAGAGAGAATTTAGGCATATGATGCATTGGTTGACTGCCACGTGTAAAACCTAACCTTAAAATTGGTGTAATTTAGTTGCTGATGTGTGTTTTCCTTAGCGTAAAGCACACAGAAAGGTGGCGAAGGGGTACGTAGACCCCGTGGGTGCCTTGTTCAACAAGGGAAAGTCATATAAATAGGGTTGAAATTAGGGGTACGTCTATCATATTATTCCTACTATACCCCTAAAGAATATAGTTTTGGTCCTTAAATTGTTGTTTGCTTTTATTTTTTTTATTAGGAATGAAAATTGCTTATAATTTGATGAAAATTTAGGCTCACTATGCAAGTTGTGGTTCATTTATGTATGCCATGTGTTAATTTAAAAACGTGAAGAAAAAAATAATTATAATAAGTTTAAATAATACAAACTTTTAAAGATTTAACATTCTTTATTTGAATTATTTTTTTTTTCCAAATCTTTAAGATTTTCTATAACCTATAATAAAGTAACATAGCCTGGCCATTTTGTTTGTTTGAATGATATATGCTCCACCATTCCTTTTAGTATTGAAACGAAGTCCCAAGCTACACAATCATATTTTAATTAGCAAATATCTACTAATAATTATAAAGATATAAAGCCGACCCATGCACCTTTGATTTAGGCATATCCTAGTCAACGGTGTGAAGTTAATAATATCAACCATTATATATATCAACCCTAGATTGATATGCTATGTATACCATATATAACACGGTAATGACCTATGTTTCTTCTTTTATTTCCTTAAATATCCATTAATTTTGTTTTTAGAGATAATTTTCTTCCAAGTAATGATATTACAGTTAGTCATAATCGTGTGGTCTCTCTCAATAAAAAAAGTTGTGGCAGACACCTGAATCTTAAAATATACATAGGTGAAATAATTAAAAGAGAAGTAATTACCTTTTATTGTACTATAAAATAATCATTGACTAAAAATGGAAAAAAGAAAAAGATTGTTACACTTGATCTTTTAATATTTTGTAGTTAAAATTTTAGTTATGAAAATCTTACGTGGGAATACACATACATATTGTTTTTATACAACTTGGAAATGCATATGAAAACAAAGAAACTTTCATTGATTTATTCAGAGTTTATTTTATTTTATTTGGAAGTTGAAATCCTTAAACCCTTAACTTTGTGGACAAGGATACCTTAGTAATTTTCTTTTATACATGTCAAGATGACACGTTGAATTACGGGCAAATACTTCCCTTGTATCCTGTAAGCCTTTTCGCTTTAATTTTCCTGAACATCAACTTCACACACTATATAAAGAAGCTCCCACTTAGTCACATTTCCACGGCTAACTATATCCTATCGTTCGGCTCTTCCAATAATCCAATCAAAGGTTTCAAAGCTTTATGATATCCTACCATTTGTTGCTGTAATTGTACTAGTGTAACAAAGTGGAGGACTTTCTTATGATGATAGCTGTTTTGATTTTGCAGGGATATGATGGGGAGATCGCCTGGCGGTGATGATAATGGCCTCAAGAAAGGGCCTTGGACGCCTGAGGAAGACCGTATTCTTGTAGATTACATTCAGAAACATGGCCATGGAAGTTGGAGAGCACTTCCAAAGCTAGCTGGACTAAACAGGTGTGGAAAAAGTTGCAGGCTTAGATGGACTAATTATCTCAGGCCTGATATTAAGAGAGGAAAGTTTTCTGAGGAAGAAGAGCAAACCATTATCAATCTTCATGCAGTTCTTGGCAATAAGTAATCTCTCTTTTACTATCTTCACTGTGTTGGACTTCTGTTTAGAAGCCGACTACCTAAACGACAGCCTGGTTATCTTTTATATGTTTTTTAAATGCTATGTTTTGCTTTTTCAGGTGGTCTGCCATAGCAACCCATCTCCCAGGAAGAACAGATAACGAGATCAAAAATTTCTGGAACACCCATCTGAAGAAGAAGCTTCTTCAAATGGGGATTGATCCAGTGACACACAGGCCAAGAACTGATCTCAACATTCTAGCTAACCTGCCACAGCTGCTTGCTGCTGCCAACTTTAGTAGCCTGATGAACATTCCTTTAGACAATGCTCTCAGGTTGCAGTCAGATGCTGCCCAGCTTGCCAAAATCCAATTGCTGCATAACATACTTCAAGTCCTAGGTACTAGTAGTAGTACTACTACTCCAACTATGGAAGCAATGAACCTTCTAGCAGGGCCATCTTTCCGGGAAAATCAGCTATATGAACTCCTTAGAATGAATTCTCAGCTTGAAGAAAACAGAAATCTCCCATTTGCCTTTGCTCCACATGAACTTACACAATTACAGTCAAATTTTCTTAATTTGGAAGCTTCTCAACATCAACCACATCAGTTCAGTGAGTATCATCAGCCAATGAAAGACTCAAAAATTTGTTCCAACAACAATGATCCATTTGCTTCTTCTTCTTCCTCTCCGGTAATTCCAACTGCAACTCCACAGCTTCCAGCTCTAGTTCCAGCCTCACCCGGACATCCCACCACTCATGTTAATCAAACCGAAAATAAGATTAACCCCAATGATATCTCTAATCCTTCATCTACTTCAACCACCTTTGAAGCTTGGGGAGATCTTATGGATGACGAAGCAAGTGACTCTTACTGGAGAGATATTATAGAGTAAGTATGAAATTAATTTTTCTTTAAAGCATATATTAATTATTGGTCTATTTGTCCTGTAGACTAAATTAATGCACTGCTTACCTCATTTTCTCTTCTCCTTTTTTTTCCCTTTTTTTTTTGCCATTGCTGAATATACGTATTGTTCATTTATCTATAAATTTTTTTTTCCTCATTTGCAGCCAGGCATCGTCACAGTCATGGACCATGTCGTAGTTAAATGGAGCTTTCCATTGAATATATCAAGAGTTTGGTTTAATAACTTGTAGACAACCCAGCTATGCTCAGTTAAGAGAATTGGTTTTTCATTAGATTTAATATACAAGGAACAAAAAAAAAAAATACAGGCCAGGTGCCATTGTGTAAAGTAAAACGAAGTTATCATTCTGTGTAATTTTTTTCTTTAACAGTATAATTTGCCATACCACCTTGGAGTTTTTTTCCCTATATATTTTCTCAGAAAGACTTCTTTTCTCTTGAATCCTTATTGTTTGCTTAGATTTCCATCATACGCCATTGAATATTACATGTCAAATGATTCGATTATGTTGGAAAGTGAATGGTTAAATACATGTGGTTCCATTTTGAATGGTTGTTTAATTCTGCACCATTTGCATTCGTGGCTATGCCTATCACCAGAAAGAGGAGGCGGAGGAGGAGGAGACAGGGAAAAGCAGTGGATGAATATAAAACAAGTTAGTTGTAGATCGATTTGGACACGAAATTAATCAGTGAAAAAGACCTGTTCTTTCTTGAATTAGAAAAGGGGTTTGACCTTTGTATGTATAAGGAGACATATTCATGTCAAACTTGTATTAGTATTTGACAGAAACAAAGCCAAAGACCCAAAAGAAAAAACAAATGATCAAGAAGTATTTCTGTTGTCATTGGCAATGTCTCAGTCTAATGAAGATCATAGAGAATGACACTTGAAATAAATGAAATAAAATATTCCAAAAAAATAATGTAAGCCAAAGCTTTGTTGCTAAACTAATAGATGGTTATATCTGCCTCCTGATAAAAAGTCAAGACTATTTGTTACTTATTAGGTAAGACTATTTCCACTAAATAGAAGCAATTGATGCAAAGCTATAGATAAAAGCAAGCCATCCAGAGACCTAACAGTCTCTCTCACCATTTGTGATATTTCTAGAACAATGAAGTTGTGCTGCAAAAAGAGAGAGGGGTTATATCAAAGTTGTCATGTTGTTTACTGTTGTTGAAAATATTTGATGTTAAATTTCAACTTAGGATTAATTGTCTCATTATTTGCCTTAAGATAGAAGGGAAAGATGAAAAAAAAACACACCATAAATATTTTTTTTTCTAAACAAAGATAAGTATAAGAGAGCTTTGGAGAAATCCCTATTTACAAGCTAACCTTGTCCAAGAAGGGACTTCCATGATATTTAGTAGGTATGCCATTTGACCTTAGAAAACAACTAACCCTACCTACCTTGCCAAATATGTTGATTGTTACATATAGCAGTGCTAAATCACAAAAATTTTATCATGAAAAACACTCAAGTTCAGAGCTTTTCTCTCCATTAAAATATTTATACATTTGTAAATTCTGTTACGGTTCTTGGTCTTTTTTCACAACGTGATATGCATAAAACTATTGTTAAGGCCTAGGAAGGTCAATCGAAACATGATCAGCAGCTAAAAGTAAGGAACTATCCAATGCTGAGAATGGGCTGAGATCCCCTCACAGGATTAGTATATTAAATAATGATGGATACCTTCACAAAAATTCAATTTTGTTTCTCTTTCTGTACATTGATATGAAGTTCATTGAATCATACGTTACATAACAATAGTTTTCTTTCTTTCTTATTTCTCTTCCAGAATAGGTATAGTAATGCAAAGATATGGGGCCAGTCCCGACCTTTTATGGTTCAAAAACCTCTTATAATTAGTCACCAGACCCTGTTGCTATAAGTAGATATTTAATTTCGATTACTCCTAAAACAATTTAGGCTTTGTTGGAATGGGGTATTTGACATATCTATTTCATCCGGATATTAAAAAAAAAAAAAGGAAAAAAACAATTCGAAAGTTGAAACAATACAACAAGAACTAGTAACCTATTGACAAAATTTTGTTTTAATGTCTATGGACATATATACTTGCTAGAACTCATCATTGTACCATGCATTGACCCTAGCTATGATAGCCACCGCACCCAGCAATATCTTCTCTCAAATGCAGATATGATGGCGAGGTTGGAAGGGCAAGTGAGGCAGTAACGGTGGTCAGGTTAGTGCCGCAATTGGGGTTTCTGTGGTGGTGTGGCTGGGCCACATAAGAAGCTACCAGTAGCTAATTCACATCCCTCAAGCTTATCACACTTTATTTCTCGCAAACTCAGTTTTCCAGAGCTTCTATTAGCTGGGAATTCCCTAACAGATGTTATACCATAAGCAGTAACACAGGACACCTAACAGTCTAGTGGATAGCAATCTTATGGTAAATTTAGTTATGATCTTCCTCGGTTTACTGCATTTCGCGTGCGAGAGGGATACGCTAACAACTACCATGCCTATAAATCATAGGTTTTACAGCCCAACAAACGTATCAGCCAGCTTTGTCTGGTGATTATTCTAAAGAGTCAGGATTGAACGATGTTTTCATCATAGACTCGGGATTAAGGGAGGATAAGACGAACCTGGTTTATAACCCAATAAATAGACCCAAAAACAAATAAGGAAATAATGCTACTCGTGCTTAAGGAGCTGCAGAACTAACATTTCTGTGTCATCATGTTTTTTAAATTATACCCTATTTAACTATAAATTTTCTATTAGGGAGCTAGGCATGGTGCTAGCACGGTCCTCCATTCTATTATTGTTCTACACTATGGGAAGGAACAGTTTCTAATTGGATCGAGCAAATCAAAGTCCAATTCAAGTTCCCCCAACTTGAATAATATATAGTAGGCCGGCTAAGCAGGAATAGACCTTAAGCTTACAATATAGTTTGGATATATTGGCATGTAAGCATCAAGCCCTGCAGCCTGCAACATCTGAAAAAATTTAGATTCCAAATTGCAATTGCAAAGGAAAGATGTTGGAGCAAGTTTCTACAAGGTGGAGGTCAATGTGCTAGCTGATGAAGCAAAAGCAATGGGAGCTTTACATCACCTGGAAATGAGCTCATACATACAATCGACAAGATCAAATAGGACAAATACAGTTGGCAGAAGTCTCATGGAACTTGAATTTGTTCCAAGTACTGCATTGAATCTTTTATTTCTTCACAATGACCGACAGGGAGAAGTAACTGAATAGAAGAATGAAATCTGGCATTGGTGCTTGCTTGGATATATCATGCAAAAGGGCAAGCAAGGTGACATTTGAGGACAGTCTCTAGTGCAAGGCTGCTACTTCCAACTGTAAACATCCATTTCAAATATTGCAGAAATGACAAGATACCATCTCATCAAAACAGTGATTAAGATTCACAAGGATTCTAAAGCTAGTTGTACTGCAATCTGAAGCCCATTAAGCATGCACTAAACAATGTAAACCTTAACGATCTTTTTGTCCTCCAACATAATTCATTTCATTATCAATCAAAAAAATTTGTGAAGATCATGATACATTCACAAATAAAAACCCAAAAATCATGACAAGAAGAAAAGGCAAATGTCATAATCCATATTAAATAAATTCTAATATGCTTATATGAGATCTAGCTGTTTCTGGCTTTCTGCAAAGTGATCTGATGAAGTCATCTGGGTTTATTCTGCTCTCATCACATTCCCCACTTGACCCCCTAACCCTCAGCCCAATTAAAAATTAAAAATAAATTAACGCCCTTATTTAATCCCCACTCAACTCTTGCAACAACTACCAGCTCTTACTTGGTCCGCAAACAAAATAAAGCTAATTCGTTTTACCACCCAACGTCTTCTGCTAAGATTTAGTAGTTTTTTTGCGCATTCTTCCTGACGTAGTAGTGATGTGGCTTTTAAACAATTGTGCCTTCTTCCAGACATAGCAGTGATGCATCTTTTATACACTTCCATTACGACAAATGTATCTAGTTTGCGCAACTAATTTAATAAGTTTAAAATCCAATTTTCAATATTCTTTGCATTTTAAGGAGAGAAAAAGTGATCGACATGCAAGTCTCTAAAACCTGATTCACACCCAAAAAAAAAAAAGAAAAACCCCTCAAATAACATCAGAATAGAACTTTCAACTCATTATTCCCAAGGGTTAAAACAGGACACTTAATGATCAAATAATATCAAAATAGAAATCTTGCTGATACAACCAGATCAAATAGAGGTCCCAAAATTCAAGTTCCCATATACTGAGCACATGGAAGGTTAAAAAAAAGACAAGTTGTCACAGTTTAAATACAGTTTGCAATCTCAATTTGAAACCAAATTTAAACAGCTACATTCATTAATTTTGTTTACACAACTACCATAATACTACAAGGAAGATTGAGGGACTAAGTGACAAAGAGTATCACATAAGAGGGGCTAAGCCACCTTTTCACATCCTATGCTGAGTGCTGACTGTAGATCATTAGTAATTCAAATGTTTTCTCAATATATCCCAAACAACAGTGAAGAATAATCTGATGTTTCACTACATTGAACCATAAAACAAATGTATTTGCATGAATAGAAACAGATCATAATTTAGAAGTACACAACCTTCAACCGCAAAACTAAGATGCAGCACCCAGCTAATCAACAGCCATTGCTTCTGAGCCCCCATTGGCATCTTCCATTCCACTCTTCTGCTCTTCAGTCACCATTCTCATCTCCTCAATCAAACTCTTTTGTTCCTCCTCTATGGTATTTTGCAACTCATCCACCTGCATAAAGGTTGATGTAACATGATGATCAAATTTAGTAACACATATCATGCAGATTCAACTAATCTTTTAAGTGGTTAGGCATACTGCAGATCCATCATTCTATCATTTATCCACTATCATGCAAAACAAAATTCTGAAAATGACAAGATAATGGCACTGCACTGAGGATAACAGAATTCAAAGCAGAACGAAACAACAAATGAGAACGGTGACAAATACATCTCAAACTAAAGTAGCACAATCACAAAACTAAAACCATATTCAGTCTTAGGATTGTAAGAACGATAACATCTTAAAATGTTATTTAAATCAAGAAAAGATACTCTGATATGGCTGATTTTGCAAGGAGTATATGTGAGAAAAGACCCTAATAAAGCATTATGGAGCAACTCAATTCCAAATTATGTCTGCATAAGTCATTAAAGAATATGGAACCTATTCTGGTGAACTGCTGCTTGAGATCAACAACAATGTGGTGCTTGATGCCAATACATGACCTTAAAAGCTCTATGTAGGAGTTAGAATAATAGAAAGACCAAGCTTAAATTGAGGGTAATATGGGAAACTTTCTAGTTGCAATCTGCTTATCCAGCTCAAGTAACTGAAGTTTCCCTTGAAAACATATACTTAGAAAAATATGTTAAAATCTAATCCAAAATAAAGTTGTTCAGACCAAAATAAAACTGATAAACGAAACAGACATAAGTTCCATCCACTGACTTGTAATGGATTCTTCCTTATTTTCCAATCTTTACAGCTTAATATCATAATTTATAAGTCAAGCTCTCGCATATACATCTTGTGAGAAAATTTACTAAATCCACACGGAAGATTCAAGAGCCAGCGTGCAAAAGAAAACAAAGAAAAATTCAGAGTCTACATGAAACCCAGGCAATGAGGTGAATAGGTATCAACTTCTAAGAATGGAATACGAGCAGCATAAGCTAGTTTAGGAAATATCTTTGACTCAACCAGAGCACTAAATCTGTAAAACATAATACAGAAGAAGACTAAGTTCATGGAGAGGAATTTCAAAAGAACATATTCACACAATCAAGATACATTCCCTAACCCAAAATATCAAGCACCACAAACTAAGCTTCAATTTGATCAAGTTATAACAGGAACAGTTCAAAAGCAAGTAAGTTACAAGCAGACTTTGACATACCACATGTAATAACAGAGCAAACTGTTTCTTCCGGAGCTCTAGCAACCTTGAACCAGCAGTGTTCTCTGCCTCCAATGCTGCAATCTCTTTCTCTAATTCTGTTATACTTTTCTGTGTCTCTGATCTAGGTGGTGGTGCAGAAATCAATTTCCTAATTGCCTCACACTCCTCCTTGTGCTGCCTCTCAATCTTACTTTCCTCAAGTTGTTTCTTTAGATCTTCTATGTCAGTCTGTGCCTGTAATATCTGCCTATTTATCTCATCTTTTAACTCATTGAAGTTCTCTTTCTCTCTAAGATTTGAATCAATAACAGCTTTACTCTTTAAAAGAGGAATCTCAAACGTCGACAACTCTTGTAAGAAAGCCTTGGAAAGTTTTGCACATTCATTATAGTTATCTTCATCCTTCTCAACCTCTAGCACAAACGAGGTAAACTTCTTTTGAAGTTTCTTCAATGGGGGTTCACCTCTTGTGGTAGTGGTGCGGGTCAGAAGCCTGTGTTTTATAATGATATCATCTTCAGCAGGGCCAAAAGCATAATTTGCAGCCACTGTCTCTCCCCTACTGGACACTTTCCTTCCTTTCCCCAACATCTAAATGTACTATTATTCCCCCAAACCTGCAACATCAGTTCATGAACTATTTTAAAAAAATGCCATACATATCCGCAATAGCTATAACTGAAACATCATTTTACAAAGAAAGTCAGACTTGAACAACCCTCATGCGTCAATCAACTTGAGCATTCTTCAATAATGACACATATAACACTCTAAACTCTTCACACACTCGTTCATAGAAGACTGCAAACGAAAATTGCAACAACCAAATACAGAAATGACGCAACGACATGGGCAGAATCACAAAACAAACAGTTTAATTAAGAACTCGCCAACAAGAAAACGACAGATTATGATTTTGTTTACGTTATTGTAAATTGTTCCCTTTGTTTTAAGATTTAAAATTTTGCTAAATGGCTAAATAAGATATATCAATAAAATCAAAAGAAAACAGTAAGCTAAAACTTTATACATAAATGGTTGATTATAGCAAATTAGATCAACTCCTTTAGGAAATAAATAAAATTAAGATTACGGAGAAGCATGTTTCCAAACTTTGAGACAATTAATTAAAATGCTAATAATTATGACAGAATTACAAAAATAAATTAAAGTAATAATAGATTACCAACTCAAAAATCTTGGAGAGAGGAAGATTTTGTAGCTGAGTGACTCGGTCGTAACTCGTTCATGGAGATTTTAGGGTCGCCTTTCAAATTTCGAGTCTCGACAGAACGAAAAGCGAGCCCTAACGTAAGGTTAAGTGGCTTTTGGACTTGGTTTGCTTGGGCTTTCTGGGGCCGCTTCTCATTAATTCTTCGAGTTTCACGGGCTGCATACGGGTCGGGCGGTTCGGATATTAGCTACTTCACTAACCGAACAGACGTTTTCGGTTTTTTAAAATCTCAAACCAAAACGGAATTACTATTTCTTTCTTTCTCGATTTTTAGATATAATTTTTCAAACGAATGTAACTGAATTTTATTGATTTTAATAGATTTCTTTAATTTCAAAAAAAAAGAAAATATATTTATCCCAACCAATAAACATAAGAGGTATTAACCTTCTGATTTTGCAAAAATTATAAAGTTGGAATGCTGTGATAGCAGCAAATATATTAACTTTTAGTTACCACCATTATTTTTTTATTTTTAATATACTTTTTATTTTCACTCAAATATTTAAATTCAACAAATCATAATTATATGATGTAAATGATAATTTCAACTACATCAAATATGAAGATAGTGGGATAAAAAAATCTTAATCTAATTATGTAATGATTCAAGTTTAATCATTATTGATCTAATAATTTTTTGAATTTAAATCATGTAATTCTCAAAATTTTATATTCAAATTATTAATAATCATTGGTTTACATTTTTATATACAAATCATATTCACATCTTATAGGAGATAGATACAGTAATTTATATATCATTTCCTTCCCAAACCAATAACTATCATAAAAAAACAAATCAATATGATCAAATATGTAAATATTTGGTGAGTAATTAGAATCAATTTTTATTTCATCAAAGAATTCGGAAAGCTTTTCACATGGTGTAGCATTGAAAAGAAAAAAAAATTGTAGCTGTAGTACTAGTTTGTATACTAAGAATGTATCAAAAGAGAAAGAGAAAAGCATGAAACTATTTCAAAGAAATGTACTTCATATTGCTTCTCAATCTTCAAAATCTTCCCCATAGAGCTGACCCCTCTGGAATATAGATATATATATACGCTTTCTCCGTGGTGTATATGTATATAGCAGTAGTCTACATGAGAGTCCAGCAGGAAGATGTTCTGGGGTTCCAAACTGCTGGAAGCAAAAACTTTCTGCCCTTGTTTCCATGAGCGTTGAAAGCTCCACCGTTAGTGGGGTCAATGTGGACCTTGCCAGGGTTTCCAGGGAATGCACCACCGCCGAAGATGCCTCGGCAAGCCGAGCCAGGGCCAACCTCATGGACCATGTTTCCATGGTAGAAGCCATTGTTAAAAGGGTTGGTGACTGTATCAGCCAATGCTGTTGCCAAGGCAATCACCATTGCATCAGCTGCCATATTGGCATTTGGTGGTTGCAGGACCATGCCCTTTGGCCCATAGTCAGACTGGTGGAAGGGCCATCCGCATGATCCAGGGCACTCGGTTTCTGGGTTCCCGACGATGATGTATGGCTTGTTGTTTTCTGTAAAGTTGAAGATTAAGGAACAAATTAAATACTAGTTATATTTATCAACTTTATAAGGAGGGAGGGATTCTTTGCTTAAAGGAAAAAATAAACATTTTGAAAGAAAGGAAACTAAACTAAAACTTACCAACAACTCCATGATCAGCGCATTTTCCCGTGCAAAGTCCTTGAACAGTGACATCTCTCGCGGTTACAATGACGGGGATGAGGTCGGGATCTCCATTAGTAGCATCATGGACAAGCTTTGGAATATAATCTACGGTAGTCAAGATTTTCCCATACTTATAGGTGAGATCACTAACTTGTTTCACTACATTCACAATTATTCTTGGGCTTCTTCGTCGTCCATAGCGTGCTCCTGGCACGGCGGATTGGTAGCTCTCAACAACACTCCACCAACTCGAAACTTGAGGCTGGAGGTTGGTTCTGTCACCTTCATTGTTCAAGGATTTGATGAAGTTCCTAATTGTACTCTTTTGGATTCTGCCACACCTACCGTACCAAATCAGGGCTAGGTTGAGAGTTCCGGTGAGGAGAGGGCCGCCATGATGGGTCATTACCACTTTCGAGGGGCCGTAGCCATAGCTGAGGGAAGGATTGAATAAGAGGATAAAGAAGAGGGCAAGAGAGAGGGTGCGAATTGAAAGAGGAGAAGATACCATTGTTGCCAATATGCTCTGTTTTTGCAAATTGTTTAGGCGTCCGAAGTTTAACGCAAAGCAGATTTGAGATGCATTTGCATGCCTGAAGTGTGAAGTACAATTAATGGTAATGAGCTTATGAGCATACGGGGATTCGCTAATTTAGGGAGTCTAATCTTGGATATTGGTTGAACCTTAAATTTTCAGCGGTAGGTGTCCATTTTAAGACTTGTTAAAGTTAGTATAATTTGGATTGAAGAAAATGGATGCTATCACATGAAATCCTAGCGAAGCGGGGGGACACCTTCTTTAGTTAAATGTACATGTAAGAACTCGTCAAAAGGTAGTAACCCACATCAATGTCATTCCCGCCAAACAAAGCATCCCTTGATATGGATTCTGATGTCAACGACTATAAATAAATTTTTGGGTACATGGATTTGATGCTTACTCCTTTTTTTTTCTTCTTGATCATGTTCAATCTAGAATCTCCCTATTTAAACCTACAATACCACATTTGTATTTACTATTTTTGGATTATAATGTCAATAATGGCAAATTTTCATAAAAAAAAAAAACTTCATCATCTCATTCGTTGATTTAATGACATAATACTTAAAGGTTTTTTATTCTATTATATTTAATCAAATTCTTATATTTTTATTTTAAATTAAATAAATCTTTATAATTAAAAAATAAATAATTATAATAAATCAAAATATCACTTGTCATTTTATATTTACATAACACGAACATAAAAAGTAAAATATATCACGTAATTATATCATTATATCACGTTATTATTAATAATGACATATCAACATATCATGTGACGCGTAATATTTTACATAACAACAACTAATCAACTATTAATTATGAAAACTTATTTAATTTAAAATAAAAAAATTATTGAATATAATTAAAAATAAAAATTATTATATTCCATATGGCAATTGGAGAAAATTTTTCTGCAGAGATGTCTTCTTCCATGCAGCATAAGTGAAAATCAAGGCACAACAAAGACATAATTTCAATAAATACACATTGGAATTAATCATTTAATTTTCGCAAATGAAAAGCTAATACAAGGTAACAATTTTTCTTTCTTTCTTTTTTTTATTTCTTTTAGGAGAGAAGGGGAAGAAAGGAGAGTATGTATCAGTTTTCATTTTCATTTTTGTTCTTTGGATGATATCTGTCAGTCACAGGTACTACACTTACTAAACATACTCACATCCTGAACACTCCGTTTTAATGGTTCTCTTATTCTGTGTAGATATAAGACCCCGAGTTTCTTTACATTTATGCCATTTTACCATCTTCTCTTCGTTCTGCCTCAGCTTTGCAGCCACGGACTTCAGACCACTCTTCATGCAACTAACAACAACTGTCACAAGCTCTCTGCAAATCACAAGTTTACAACAGTTAGTTCACAATAACAATTATCCATCTGCAAGAAGCAAACATAATCTAATGCAATGCCAGTAATGGGAGAAGAAAAAATAACAAATGGAAGCAAGATTCTTGATGTCCAGAGTTGCTATAATGAGGAAGTTTTTATGTTTTCAAGAGACAACCCAAAAGTAGTTTCTTGCAAGGAAGATTGAAGTTTTCAACTTAACCGAAGGTCTTGCACTATTTGCTCAACAACAGGAAAAATATAGCATAATTCTGCAGGGTTATAGGCTCCCCTGAATATATTCTGGCTATTATAGCCAGCACAAGAAGAATTGTCCTGACAAAAATCAGGCAGACTTATCTCAGAACTTCAAGGCTTTTCCAGATTGAGCAAAATAAAGAGTGCACAGAAGTGAGTATTATCCTGTTGATGATATGAAGGCGAAGTTGTGAGAAAGCTCCTTTCTAGCCTCTAGTAAAGCAAGATCTTCCTAAATATTAGGAATATAGCTTTTATGGCAGGTTCATAGAACAACTATAGCCAGGGCAAAAAGTTGATCCTGCATTCTGATTCTCTAGAGTTACATGGTCAGTCGACAACAAGAATTATGCTAATGAAGAAAAGCATTGCTACATTATTTGAACTAAAGATTAATAAGTAATAGAATACCTACCACATCCTGGCGGTGACCAGCAAATTAAGGACAATACATCAAATCTAAACACACCAGATTAAAGAGGACTTCTTCTTGAACATTTCAAGGGAAAGAATAGCTAAAATGCTAGGTATCAAAGCTTTGGTAAATTGTCACCGTCAAATCTAAAAATCTCAAGACCCTAATCACCAGCTGAAAAATACTAATAAACTAATTCTTTCTTCTAGTAATTGTCCCCCACTTGTAATCAGACTAATTGATAATATACAGACTATAAGCCTGATTTGAAAAGGACCACATGAATAAAATGAAAATGCTTAGAGCATCCTAAACTAATAGCCTCAAAACTAAGACTTCATGGTTACTACATCCAGTGCATAGATATTTCATTAATCACATAAAAAATTTAAACCACAATTTTTTGGCTGTCTCAATCTTAATGGTCGTTCAATCTCAAGCATCGTATTTTCTCCATAAAATCCCATAACAAATGCCTTGTCCATATTCTATTCAGGCCACAAAAGCTCAAGGAAGAACAAAGTTGATGATCAACACAATAAATTACTTTCAACTCCTGCTTTCGTATTTCTTTACACAAGATTACTGCAGTTTCATCATATCTCATTTGAAAAAAAAAAAAAAACAGAACATTTACAGTTTTAAAGGTTATAGGTAGTCAGCAGTTAGGATCTGAACAAAGTAGAGAAACCTTAATATTCTTAGCACTCCAGCAAAAACTATAATAGGGTATGCTATGCCATGATTGGAGTCATAAACCCTATTTACCTTTTTCCACTTGACAAAACCCTAAAAATTGCAAGATTTGTTCATGAAGCATAACAATATCTGGTCGATGCCTATATTGACGAAATTATGTATGCACCTCATTTAAAATGCAAAGAAGAGAAAATAGCTATATGGTTTGAAATTCATAGTTTAAAATAACACCTTGAGTCCTGATAAGACCATAGGAACTGAATCCTAATTATTACTCCTAAAGGATACAATAACAGTTGGAACTTTCATAACAGTAGCAGTGTTAACGCCATCCACTGCATAAGCCATATGTTTCTCAGTCGACCGAATCTGTCTATGCCCTAAGTTTGATAGAAAGTTGAGCATGGCCCTAAACATTGTCTGTTCAACTTGGTATGATCTCTCTTTTTTCCAGTTGTATGCCTTGCTCTTTAAATGACTATGTACATTTTCACATAGTGGTAGTTATAATGAACAATGAAAAAGTAATGGTGAAAGTTAGTTCCCTACCAACTCTGCCCTGTTATCTCTTTAGTAGGCTCAACAATTATTACTATAAAATACTTAGACGTTTTATATTTTTATAAGGTAGTGATTGATCAAAAGGTACATTTTGGACTTACAATGGTGAGCAAGGAGAACGACCACCATTTACATAGTAAACGAACAAATATGAATCGTAGTGCTGACCATTGATCAAGTAAAACCCATGCAACCTCCGCACACACTTGAATGACATCTTCTTGTATAAATGAATGGCTGGATTATTGTAAGAAATCACATGCAAGTAAACTGCACGGCATACTTGGATGCTCGAAGCATATTTAATAACTTCACGGATAAGTGCTGTAGCTGTTGATTGAACACCAAGCAAATGCTGGTCATAAGGTGAGGATACATTTCAAAAATTAGAAAAGGAAAGAAGGAGAAAGAAGAACCATTAATTGAGAAAAAGGCTCGCACCTATGCCAAGATTTCTGTAAGCATCTACTACTCCCAGTGTCAGAACATATACTAATGTTTGATCCACCTTGGATGAGTCATACCTGAGCAAATCTGCTATCTGCAAGGTAGGTGTTGATTGAAATGAATAGCATGATTCAGAAACAAATTATCAAGAAGATGCAAGCATTTAAATACTTAATAAAGGAAAAGCAGACATATTTGAGACCCAAAAACGGAAGCAAAAGGTTGAAGTCCGTATTAGGTTTCCACAACAATATATTCATTTTAGAATCATAACAAACACTTTAATATCATATAAGTCCTAATTATTGAAACGTGTTAAAAACTCTGCTTAGGCCGCAATTCAACCACAAAGAAAATCTCATATATGCATTATATGCACTAATGCAGATGGATGACACACCTCACTATCCCTTGCCAGTACAATTCTTGCAGTGACAAATCCAATAAGCTCATCACTTCGACCATTGGGTCGACTACGATCAACAGCTGCCCATGACACAATATCACGTCCATTCACAACATTCTGGAAAAACTCAGACTCATACCTGAAGAGATCAATACCTTTCCTTGAAGATGCATGAAATACTCTTTATTGAAAACCCTCAATAGAAAACAGAATGAGTTCTTACCTGATAGGAAATACGTCACTGTGGATTTGTTGTAAAATAGCTAAATCAGATGGCTGTATAGGCCTATAGCAGATGGAAGGACGATGTGAGATTTTCGGGTTCACCATTGAGGATCGGAACATTAATCCCCAGAAAAGATGTAATAGATTTGGAGAAATTGTAAAGAAATTTCTCCTTCCATTTATGCAGCATCAGCCACAATCGCCATTCGGCACTCAATAAAACTGAAACAAAAATTTTGCATTTAATTAGTTACTTCTGATGTCAAATACAGCCCACACCACCCAACCAGCTGAAAAACACAATAACAACACAGACACAAGGGGCGAAAAAGCTTACCTTCATTTTAAAGCTAGTACACACTTCTTTACAACATTAGAAGACTTCAAAAAAAAAAAAAACTGATAGCATACTAGAAAGGTTAACAGCTTTCCGATTACAACATCAAGCAATTGCTCATATGATATGATTGAACTGTTTAGTTGTCACTTTTCCTACTTGCGTTTACTCTTGAAAAGCATAAGGCAAAAACTACGTTTGGATGCAAAATCAAACAATCTTTTTGCAGAATTTATAAATTAAGAGGTTTTTTTTAGAACAAATTCAATGATTTAACTTCTATAGAAATTTTTTACGAACAAACAACAAGTAGAAAGACAACTAAACCTAAAATAAGTAAATATCTGATAAGTAACAAACCTCAAAAACACCCTCAGATTCACTCGTCTTTCTTTCACCTATTTCAAAGTAAAAAAAATAAGTAAAGAAAGCTTAACCGTTAAGTATCAATAAACATGCCACTAGCCATTTGATTCCAAGTTCCAGAGAACCCCTGATCTCCATTAATCAAACACTTTCTAAACTCACCACTCAAATTGTTTACTTTCTTGTCTACAAACCAAATAAAACAAAACCCCAAAATTTCAAATACCCAAAAACCAGCAAAACCAGGAAACCGAGGGTAAAGACTCAAAAACCCAAGCTGGAAATGAACCCAAATCAGTATATTACAGAAAAGATCCAAAGAACAAAGATCATATATTCAGCAAAAGCAAAAGTACAAACAAACCAATCAAAAACCTATTGGAAAAAATTTCGTAAAAAACAGGAAAGTTTCTAACCCAGAGAATCGCAGGCGACAACAACGATCGCAGCGTGAAGAACTGAAAGACGGAAGGTTATTTGTGTTTTTGTTTTATTCGTTGACCAGTGAAGGAGGCGAAGGAGGCAAAGGGGAAAGACAGAAACATGCGACTGTACAACGGACCCGGGGCTTTTGTCTTGTTGAATCTTGCTGATTGTTGATTAATTACAGCCGACGTTAAAATGCTTAAAAAATAAATAAATGAAACAGCAAAATAAATGTTGATGCTTTGATTAGATTCCCAAGCTAAAGAAAACTCAATGTGAAAGATAAGTGCGTCCTCGGCATATAAAAGCTTAAGATAATTGATAAATCTCTCAAATAATAAAAACATTTTTTCTCAATAATAAAAATTTCAAATTCTTTTTTGTTTATTGGTAAAATTCAAGTTGCCACAATCAAATTTTATAATAATTATTCTATTCTATTAATCTTTTATTCTATCTTCAGCAAATAATCAATCTAGTTTTCTTTTATTCCATTCATAATCATCTAAACGTGTTGTTAATGTTTTGATTATTTTTAAATTAATACTTCAATTTTTTTTATCCATTATGATCTTCTTTTCTAATTGCATTAACAATTTATAAATTTTTTTATCAAGTATAATTTTGGTAGAAAAAAATCAAAACTTAAATTTTTAAATAATGAGATTCATTATTAATTATTAAATAAAAAATATTTATAATTATTTTACAATTAAGCATTGGGCCAACAATTAAGCCTTGAATATTAGCGGGCTTGGGTCCACACCCTTCTCAGGCCTGGTTTAGGTGAGAGCTGGACCTTGAACCTGGCACTGAATTTTGCATGTCGGCCCATTTTCAGTCCTTACCAAAAGTTTTTCCGCAATTGTCATGCGGATTAAGCATTATTTATTATTTGATAATATTTAATTATCTAAAATCTATTCTCTTCTCTTATATAATTGTCATCTTATTCATTTATTTAATTATTCAAGAATATTTTCTTTCTTCTATTTCATCCTATACTCATAATAGTATTCCATAAAAACGTTTTTCTTATTTTTCCTTTCCCTTTTCAAGACTAACAAGTAATTAAGTTGAAGCTATGGAAAATTAAATTTCGTTGATAATCGATCATTTAACTTAATATGGTATTAGAACTCTCGAGTTCAAATCCTGAAAACAAAACTAATTTGTATTTCTGACAATGATTTCGTTGAGAGAAATACAGACAGAAAGAAGAGAGTTTCATAAAATATACATTGCAAGTCTGTATCAGGGAAGTGAGAACAATGGGCTTAGGAGATACTCGTCTAGCATTATCTCCATATACGTGGAGTGGAAGACAATACCAGGCAATATGCTTTCCTTTCCTAGTTGCTGCGACAGTTTCTTTACCCTGTTCTACTGTTTTGCTATTTCAGAGTTCAATTTATATACAAGAAGAGAGTTGGTAGCTAAAATGTGAGTTTATCATTTTCAAGCGCCGCCCGCCGCTTTTTCAGATATACTAAACGCAGGAATGTTATCTTCTCGGCAATGGCATTCCACGTCTAAGCTTAAAGAGAGTTTCCATCTCACCATTTTAATAGCCTTCAAAAGGCAACCACTCTCACACGCATGCATACACACATAAGCACAGTTTTTCTCTTCTGTTTCTTCTCTACTTTCACCTGGACTATTCGTCATTCTTCCTTCAAAAGTAGCGTACAATGCAGCACCAATGAATTACACGTTCCTATCACGAAGGCAGGAGCGGAGAGCATATATGTAACTGCAGAAAATAGTAAGTGAAGTGAAGCACGCCATACAAGGTCTGTTAGACCAAAAAAAGAAAGTGCAAATAGCTGATAGACATATGCAAATAATTTTTTTCCCAATTATGATCAGCTTTTAATGGTCTTTCAAGAAATGTAGGATGGGACTGGAAACTGTTGAGTAGCAATTAGACAGATAGGGTTATTTATGATTTACCTATGTAAACTAGAATACGTTTGAGAGGAAAGTCCTATAGACAGTAATCCCATGGCATAATTTAACAAAGAGGGACAGAGAGGATTGTTCAGAAGATATTGTCATCAGACACATCATCACTTAAGAGCTGGGTGGGATCTCTTGCATAGACAAAATAAAATTCAATGTCCAACACTGTCAGAAAAGGCTACTTTTAAAGGACTAAAGAACTCAATCAAATGCTTTTATTCGGTGGACCTTTTTTTCCATACAAAATGAAAGTTTTAATGACACGTCTACTAGAAAAGAAAAACATTCCTAGTATCATTTACCTGTGGTGACTAGATAATCATAAGTACAGAGAATGACTCCTCACATAAGTAAAGGTATATATTGGTATGGAAAAACACAATGTTAAACTCATTTAATGAAATGTGATGAGTACAACATTTAACGTGCACTGTATTTTACCTTAAATCATTGGAACTCAAAAAACATTAGCAGTCATGAACTGATGATTGACAACAGCTTCCGCAATTGGCCGTTTTCGGAAGTCTGGATTCAGCATTGCCTGCAAGGTGACAAAAATGTGTTAGAGCCCAATTGCATCAAAAGCATGGCTATGAACTTCCTCCGAGTAAAAAGATCCAATTCATATTTATTAGCCTAAAAAGGTTCAACTAAATTTAAACAAAATTAAGACATTTACTTCAGGTATTCTCTGGCTATTAACCTCCTCCACTGGTTAGCACGTTATTAATACAAAGTCCTTGGAAAATAGCAATTAATTTAACCTTCTTTGACCATGTTTTAGGATAAATATGTTACACTTGCTAGTCATAGAAAATGACAAATTGTGTCGCTTGATATAGAAGAGCAAAGTATTGTAATATAGCTTTCAGTTGCGACTAACCTGAAGTAATTCCCAACCAGCACCAGCACCAAGATCTAGAAATTTGACAGCTTCTAACAAGCGATCATCTGCCAAACAATACCTGCACACACAAACACAGAAGAATACTGTAAAGGTAAAAGGGAGGTAATTAGTCAAACTTAAAGCACAATGAAAGAGTAAAATTGTCTGAAAAAAATTTAGAACAAGGGCAAAATGGTCCCAAAACTTGAGCTGAAATTAGAATGACTCAGTAATCTTAGATAGGCATCTGCCACAGTGGTAATGTTATTATCACATTTTGTTGTAATCTGACCCCTTCAATAAAGTCAAATGACTGTCAACATTACCAAGTGAACAGTGACAAATATGGTAATATTTTCGGATTATCACCAAATTCTCAAGAATTTATTTGGATTATAGTGAACCAAACGGCCCTAAATAGTAGAGTGCAAAAAAACCAAAAGAGGTCCTCGTAACAAATAGGCACGAAACAATCCATTGTCCAATAAACTGAATTATAATATGATCATATGATAATAAAGATAAAGTATGCCTCTCAGTACAATGAGCACTTGCATTAGGATTTAGAAGGCTTACTCTCTTGTAGCTGTGAGATCAAGTTTGAAAGTGCTTTCCAAAAGTCGCTGGTATACATGGAGGGGAAATTGGTCCAGTCAGAGAATTGCTTGTAGTTTATTGATTTACGTAATGTTCTGAAGCATGCTTATATACAAAGGGCAGAACCAAAACATTCTAAAATGAAATAATGATATAACTGTTGCTTACTTGCAATGAAAGGCTATCCATGATCCCTGCTTCACAAAATGGAACAAAAGCCAAGTATGCAAAAAGAAGACCTGCTTCATATCTGTCTAGAGACAACAAAAGAAATTAACTTTTGGCATAAAAAGCTGATAGAAGAATCAGACGATAAAGTGTCACCAAGACACCAACATCAAAACATTACATGTCATCTGCAATTCCAAAGGCTCTTCTCTCCATAGGTGTGAATGCACCAGCAGAAGATGCCCTTCTCCAAAGATCCTCTGAGAATGTTTTAGGTCCTTCTTCCAAATATGAAAATCTAAAGAGCAAAATGCCATGTCATTGGATATAGATAGCACTAGTTGAAAAACTAAAGCAAGCCATGCAATATTTGATAACGTATTTACCTTCTCTTCCAAGGAATACTCTAAGTAGCAAAGAGAGAGCTAAGTTGATTTTTAAGAAACAGATAATGATATGACACAAGCTTATATCAAGGAAATATTAATCCTAACTGTTAATGGCGATTTTGCAGCATTCAAAAGTGTCATCTTACAGCTTTAAAAGCAATGGATCTACTCCCCTATTAGGTCAAACAGCCATCTGTCATAATGTCATAAAAAAGGGGCTTAACCTAAAATATCCAAAATTTGTATAAATAACAGAGTCCCTTCTCTCATTATTACACTGTGTGTACCATGACTTTGTACACAAATAATGATTTTGCAATGGCCAACTAAAGGACAAAAATATATTTATTGGCTTAGGGGATTCTAAGCTCAGTTGGCTGCCCGCTATTTAGCCAACAATGCAGATTGTATCCTAGGGAATCAAGTAAAACCACTGCCCTGGATTTCCAAACTTTCCCACGATGTAGATGGAAACAAATGAAAACAAAATAACAAATCTCTCTTCAAAACGAGGAATTCATATAAAGGCCTGAATACTTTAATGTCATAAATTTGCCAAAGGGATAAAAACTCTGCCAAAATTTTGGGGGCATGCTGCTGAAAGAGATTTCTGGACTTAGATTATACAACAAGAAAGAAATCCTTTTCCCATTTTGTAAGGTTGGCTACATGGATCACACTAGACTATGGTGCTGTATGTAGAAGACTAGGATCATATGCTGCATAAGATGAAAGAATGCAAGATCCTTCTTAGTATAATTTCCACCCATATCAGGTTTGGTCTTCTTTTTGCCCTTTTGATCAAGGTATCTTCCGTTTAGCATGTTCTTGTAGTAACAATCTAAGACCTTCACCTCGAATGCCAAAACCACCAAATATTTATCTCCTCATTTTCTCCAATTTGCTCTACCACACCTTCATTCATAATTTTATCTTCTTTAGTATACCCAGACATCCACGGATACATTTTCATCTCAACCATACTCATCTTAGTTGGTCTTAATACTTATAAGCCCTACCTTCAATGTCACATAAAGCACCCTTGGTCTAATCACTATTTTGTAAAATTTTCCTTTTGGCTGGCATACAAGAACCTCATAATTCCCACTACTGCTCATACCATATCTTCCTTTACAAAACAAGATTCCAAAGTTTCTATCTTAGACCTACTGAATTTGATACCCTTTGGCTCCAAAATATTTCTCCACGTCTCCAGCTTAGCATTAACTCCTGCTCTAATCTCTTTTATCAAAGATATCATCAGCCAATTGCATTCACTGAGTAAATAAGTCTTGTACATTCATCCATTGCAATAGCAATGCAAAGGCTCAAACAGAATCTTGCTCTAAGCCAATTGTCATTTGCAAGTAATTGGTCATATATCCATGGCAGAACCTTAGATTATTAGTAAGGAAAATCAAGGAAAATAACTTTCAATAATCTTCGTGTAGACTATTTAGAAAGCAGTACAAATCATTTCTGAACTAAAGAAAGGACTATGAATGTTTTTGAGACATCTTGTAAAGATTGATAAAAGGTCTGATTAAGTGATCCTTTCAACTTAAAAAGTTTTCAACAATCCCACATAGCAACAGACTTCCAAGGTATTAGGAGATACAAACAAAGAAACTGAGCCTACGGATAACTTCAAGCTGCAAGTAATGGCATCCTTAGGTAGGCAACTAAAAAGGCTCTATTAAAATAGAGTATTCTCACTCTACAATTGACATGAATGCATGCAAACAAAAAAAATGTCAAGAAATGAATATGAAAATCAAATTATATCTTTGAGAGAGTGAGGGGAATGGGGAGTGGTGGAAGTTTA